AAGAGGCAGGAGGGGGAGAAGAAGTGGGAGGAGGAACAGTAGCTGGGGAGGCAGCAGGGGCTGGAGCAGCAGTAGGCAGCAAGTTCTGCCCCAGGGTCGATGACCACCTGGGGAGCACGGACCATCCTGCCCCCAAGGATGCGGTCCATTGCATCAAAATAGGGATAGGAATCTGGATTTGCCCCTGATTGGGACCTGTCCCCTGTGACCCTGGCATACGCCTGCAGTGTTCCTGTTTATAGTGCGGAGATCATGGATGTTGTAGGCATCCCCCCAAACCTGAATTAGGTCCCTGATCTCTGCACTGGACCAGGCAGGCACCCGCCTTTTCCGGCCCCTGGCAGGCTCCTGGGAGCTGGCAGACTGGTCCTGGGGAGCGGTAGAAGGCTGGCTGGCAGAGCGGGGGAAGGCTGGCTGGCAGGCACTGGCTGCCTGGCTCATGCTGGGGCCACTGGGTCAGGTGCAGTGACTGCTAGCTCTGGGCTGGCAGGCTTGGAGCTGGCACAGGCACTGTGGCCAGAGTCAACCCCTTTAAGGGCTCTGGGGATGGGGGGAGGAAGAGGAGTATTTTTGGTTGTGCCTAGAGTGGCCACCAGGGCACCCTGGGAATGGCTGGAAGCCCCTTATTTTGAAAAAAGCATCTACACAGCGCTTATTTCAAAATAACAATTTCAAAATTGACACTATTCCTTGTGGAATGAGGTTTACCTCTGCTATTTCGATTTCATTTCAAAATAGCGGTTTGGCTGTGTAGACGCTGGTAAAGTTATTTTGAAATAACTTTGCTGTGTAGATATACCCTAAGAGTGCACGTCTCTAGATTACAGATTCACTAATTTAACTCATCCCCACCTCTAAATATGTCATTGTGCAGTGCAAAGACAACCCATACACTATTACAGACAAGGCTGATAGTACAGTACCAGCTATTATTCAGGCTGCCCAGCATTCCCAGTCTAAAACCCTCTTTTTGGTTACTTCTAACGAGTTTTTCTATAATTAAACAAAAATCTAACAACCTTTTCTTTGGAAATTTGAGGCTTCTATTACTTGGCCCAGGTTCTTGAATGTGGCAAGGGGTGTTCTTTTTGTCAGGGATTTGCCTTTTATCATCCAAGGGAAACTCTGCACAAATATAACCAGATGAGAAATCTTTGAAAAAAAATTAGTTTGTATCAGTAGAGCCTCACAGAGCATATTTGACCCTCTCATAGCTCCTAATTTTGAGTAGACTATGCATGTGTGTTGTTCCCACAGAGGTGGTGAGCATGATCCAGGCCAGGTCTATGAGGTTATGGCTGCTCTCAGTAGCTGCAGGCAGAGTGGGATTGAATACTGGAACAAAGAGCTGGACTTTCCTATGCTCTTAATACACCCTGATAGTTCCCTGCCAGCAAGGAAGAGAAAGCCATCTGATTCAGATGC